AGTTAGTAAAGCTATTCTTTGTTGTAAGTTGGTCCATATTTCTTTCTTGTTTTATTCTCTTATACATTAATAAGGATACAGTGTTATGCAAAGGTGTACTTATAACAACTTTAAAGACAAATGACTTTATAGTGGTGCGGGGGTGGGGGGGGCAGATGTTTTCCTCTTCCTAGGGGGGGCATGACAGAAAATAATTGAGAACCACTGGTCTAGCTGTACGCATGGGTGGAATTTTCTTTCTTTCAGTAATTTACTAGGCTTTGTGGGGTGGAACCGAACTGAGTCTTGGCTTAAAAAATCAGGGTGGTTGGAAAGCACTCCAGGCTTGATATTGTAGAAACAGAAACAGACTTGAAGGGGTCCGGAGATAACACTCTCAGTGGGCATCTGGGGAGAGTCTTGCAACACGGCCGTGTGCCGCACTTCCACTGTCATTTTGTTATTTAATTTTTTAAAGAGAACAGGGCACTTCCAAATATACACTAGAAAAACTACTATTGTAATGAGCATTACAGTACTTACAGTATAGTATGCCAAATGTTGTGCAAACAAGAGACAATTAGTTGTTGTCCTCCCTGAATGTCCTGATGTTGCTGGCCATGGAATCTGCTGTAACGTGGTCGGACTCTTTGCCCAGCATCTGCCATTGTCATCCGATGAACAGGACATGGTGTACAATAGTTTCATCATTGATGGTTGGTCTTGCTTGTCCCCTTCCTCCACCACTCATATAAATACCTTTGCCTTCGCTGTGTGGTTCTGTTTTTTGTCACCTGAAAATATTTTATTCTAGACGATTGGCTTGTTTGATCACATTATTGAAAACTTCCATCCATCCATTTTCTGAACTGCTTTCTCCTCACAAGGGTTGCGGGGCGTGCTGGAGCCTATCCCAGCTGTCTTTGGGCAGTAGGCAGGGGACACCCTAAACCGGTTACCAGCCAATCGCATGGCACACAGAGACAAACAACCATTCACGCTCACACTCACCCCTAAGGACAATTTAAAGTGTTCAATCAGCCTGCCATGCATGTTTTTGCAATGTGGGAGGAAACTGGAGTACCCGCAGAAAACCCACGCAGGCACGGGCTGAACATGCAAACTCCATACAGAAAGGCCAGAGCTGAGATCGAACCCACGACCGCTGCACTGTGAGGTCGGCGCACTAACCACTGGGCCACCATGCCGTCCTATTGGAAACTTGTATCATCAATTTTGAGTTGCTGTGTCTAAAACTTGACAGCTGTGTTGGAGTTGTGTTCTCATTTTGAATTTAGAAGATTGCAACGCAAGTATGTCACGGTGTAGCAAATATGTTAGGTAAATGAGAATGAGAAGCGAAGTACTGTACCTGAACAGCGTTTAGGGTTTGGTCAAAATAGTGTTTGATTTGAAAATGGGTTGAGACAACAATGAATTTGGTTCAGAGAAGGCTTTAGTGTTTGAGCAATTGTGCAGCACTTGATGCAGTGCAGTTTTACAGTCCTACATTCTACAACCACACTAAATAAATATAAATATACATACAAATTAAATGTATTCATAATTTCACACTGTAGTTTATTACACATATCTCTAATCTTCAATTATAACAATACAGGATTTGCAAATCACAATAAGTACAGCTTGAAATCTGGTGTGTTTTTTTTTCCCCCACAGGAAAAAAAAAGGACGCAGCCCTAAACTATGCAGCGGTTTCCAAAGAAAAGTTAAAATCATCTGGCGCACCTCAGTCATCTGCTGCTCAAAACCAGGATACCGTCAAATATCATGACTCCCTGAATCCTCCAGACACCCTCCTCTATTCCACTGTCAGCCACATAAACCACATGGACAGAAGCCAGGTCTCTAATCAGCCTAAAAACGTGACATACTCCACCATTGTCTTCACAGATGAATCAGCAGTGTACTGTAATGTCTGAACACAGGACACATCACCAGTCTGCTGCAGTCTCATGACAAAAGTTACGATTGTGTATTCTATGTTTGATAAAATAACTTAGCCCCACATACTTTAATATATCATGAAATAAACAAAGTATTTGCCTGTTGTCCTTTTGCTGTTATTTTTACCACCTCAGTTACTTCTGTTTCACTTTCTGATTCACAACAGGAGTCACATCCTTATTTTAAAAACACAATGCAAATATTTTAAGTTGGATGCATAAAAGACAAGCTGTACATGTTTTCATACAGATTCGTGATGAGAGAGAATATAACAGATCGTAACACCTTTTATGTAGTGCCACATATGACAGAGTGCACAGCTATTTATTGATTCAAAAACAAGAATTGGATCAACCAAATCATAAAAGGCATGGCAATAACATTAAAAGTTTCCATCGACATCATGACAGGTAATATTGTTTTGATTTTGTCGTTGGTTAATGAATATGGTTTTGGTTATGGTTTTTGACGTATTCAAATGTCTATTCTTGCAGTGCCACATTAACATGTTAATATTATGTTTTCTCAGCCACGATGCTTCTATTGACAGTGACAGGAGGCAAAAGTGGTTCTCAAGCAATCGGTGATACACGTGAGTACAATTAAACAATATAAATTGAGAATTTCTCCATTGTGAGAGAAATGAAGGTTTTCCTATCTTATCTTTAAGCAAGCATCACATGAAAAATCCGGCGTGATTTGATTAAAGACAGTCTTGAGACTTGAGATGATTTGAAACATAAAATCACACCCAAAAATGCTTTATTTAAGAATAGTCATTGATGGTGTAGTGATTCTGAAGCCTGCTTTTCGTGCAGGTGGGTTTAGTTCCCACTCGCTGATGGTGTGAAAGTGTGTTTGAATGATTGTGTACTTACTGTATCCCTACATGCACGCCCTGTGACTGACTGGCAACTCGTGCAGGGTGCTGTTCGCCTCTTGCCCATCGTTAACATTCATTCGTTCATTCATTTTCCGTACCGCTTGATCCTCACTAGGGTCGCGGGGGGTGCTGGAGCCTACCCCAGCTGTCTTCGGGCAGTAGGCGGGAGACACCCTG